TACTGGCAAAATATGTAACTGGTACATTTGGAGGGGGGGGGTCCAGGGAGGTTGGTCCAGCCTCCACTGCTCACGTCGTTGTTGTTTTTCTGTTTACAACAGTTAAAATGAAAATCAACTCATATGAACCCGGAAGTTCGTTTCAGCTGCAAACAATCATTTAAGGAGGACTGAGGGTCTGAGCCTCATTCACAGTGTAGTGAACGGTAGTGAATGGACTCCTTCACCGTCTGTGTGTCCGTCCGTCCGGACTGTGATCCAGTCCCGGCCACAGCTGCTCCACCGGCTCTGGACCGGCCGTGAACGGGGTTCGTTCATATCTGTCTTCCTTAATGATTTGTGACGTCACAGTAGTGGGGCGTTGTGGGTGTATGTGTGAGAGAGAACAGAGAGAGAGAGAGGGAGAGAGAGAAACAGAGAGAGTGCAGTGCGCATGTGCAGACAGGGTGCCGTGTGGCGGTGGAGAACAGGAGACTCACAACTGAAGAGATGGCGCGGCACCAGACAGGAGTGCAGGGACAGCTGGTCAGCGGCGGGGGGGGGGCTTGAATTATAACGATAACAACAACAAAAAAACATTTTTAAAAAACATAAATACATGTTTGAAATTCTACAGGAAAAGGTGGACGTTCAGAGCAGAGTTTTTAATCCTGCAACAGTGTCAGAGTTACAGAGAGAATAATCAAATACAGGTGAAGATGGACAGAGGCTGCTGCTGCTGCTGCTGCTGCTGCTGCTGCTGCTGCTGCTGCTGCTGCGAGGAGAACATTAGAACTTTCCTGCACCTGAGGACCTGTGGACACCAGCTCACTGCAGCCAGTCACATAGATGGTTGGTCCACAGCGCTGCCCGGATCATGAACGCGCATCTGTCGATGGAGAACATTGGCGACCTGCACGGAGTGAGCCATGAGTCCGTGACCGGCCACGGAGATCTACTGAGTGGACACAGTCCGCACTCCCGCCCGAGCCCCCGGGGTCTCGGCCACCGCGCTATGGGCATGGCGACCCTTCTGGACAGCGGAGACTATCACCCCGGCCACCCCGGCCACCCCGGACACCTGCACCCCGCCATCAGCATGTGTGAAGCCCCTCCGGGCATGAGTGCGAGCAGCACTTACACCACCTTGACCCCCCTGCAGCCCCTACCGCCCATCTCCACCGTGTCCGACAAGTTTCCTCCCCATCACCACCATCACCACCATCCCCATCATCCGCACCCTCATCCGCACCAGAGGATCCCGGGAAACGTCAGCGGCAGCTTCACTCTGATGCGGGAGGACCGGAGTCTGGCGCCCATGAACAGTCTGTATCCCGCGTATCATCACAAAGACCCCTGCATGGGCCAGAGTCTGTCCCCGCTGTCTGGTTCGGGTCTGGCCAGCATACACACCACGCAGGCCGGCATCCCTCCTTACGCTCACCCCGGCGCTGCCATGCCCGGTGAGAAGATGCTCACCCCCAGTGGGTTCGAGGCTCACCACCCGGCTATGCTCGGCAGACACACGGAGCAGCACATGAGCTCCTCGGGCATGGTACAAATCAACGGCCTGCACCACCACCCGCACGCCCACCTCGGCGCGCAGGGGCACGGCCAGGGGCTGGGGAACGGTCGGGAGCAGGCCTCCGGGCCGGGACAGCAGGGGGGCGGAGGAGGCGGCGTCTCAGGAGGACAGATGGAGGAGGTGAATACCAAAGAGGTGGCGCAGAGGATCACGACGGAGCTGAAGCGCTACAGCATCCCTCAGGCCATCTTTGCCCAGCGGGTCCTCTGTAGGTCCCAGGGGACCCTGTCAGACCTGCTGAGGAACCCCAAACCCTGGTCCAAGCTCAAGTCCGGCAGAGAGACGTTCCGCCGGATGTGGAAGTGGCTGCAGGAGCCTGAGTTCCAACGCATGAGTGCTCTCAGGCTCGCAGGTGAGCGAAGCCTCGGTAAAAAAAACCTCTCTTTATTCTTTTACACTCAAGTTTTGTTGTGAAAAACACATTTGTGGGGGTGTGGAGGGGGTGTGGAGGGGGACGTGGGTTAGGGTTAGGGGGGAGAGAGAGAGAGACCCACCACCGTGGACCGTGCAGTGGGCCTGAGTGTAGGCGGCTCTCTGCCCCAGTGTCCAGTGTCAGGATAATAATCCAACTCTGATAAATATCTAACATATATTTATATTTTAAATAGTCTTTCATGACGTCATCGCTTTCTGGAAAAATCTCACCAAAACCCTGTAGTGATGTGGGTGGAGGTCATGGATGTGTCGGTCTTTGTTGACCTCTGCTCTGGATCTGCTCCGTAATTCAAACATGTATTAGACTTCATTACTTCATTACACACATCCTTCATCAGTCCCTTCACTGTTTCTGGCCCCGTGAACTCTTGTCATTTTACCTCAAAATATCGACCGGTGCAGTGTGTGAGAAAGACGATCCTCCGCCTCAGGAATGTGTTTGTTTTGGTGAAGGATCTCGGCGGATCAGACTTTTGGTTTTGGTCTCGACAACAGACCGTGAGACAAATAAGAAAATAAAATAAAGACAAATAAAGTCGATAATCATCGGTGACGTTGGATTTCCAGGCCCTTTAGAATAGAATAGAATAGAATAGAATAGAATAGAATAGAATAGAATAGAATAGAATAGAATAGAATAGAATAGAATAGAAACTAAGATGAAATTGATTGAAGTCTCTCATGAATTAATTATCCGTTATATTTGTTCATTTCTTTTAAATGTCAGTCATTTAACTGGATGTATTTGCTGTGTGTTTGAGAAGAGGGAGAGACTTTGACTAATGTATTTATTTTGCCTCGTACATTTTTTCACCACAGTCGCACTCGCTCGTGTCTGTTATTAATTATTTTTTTCGTTCTTTCTTGTATAATATAGTGTTTTTAATTTTGTTGTTTCGTCGAGTTGGAATAGAAACCTGTCAGTGAATCCAGTTTGTTTATTGTATATAAATTAATTAAAGCCAAACAAGCTGAGCGCCAGTTTGCCATTTTATTGATCAGCTCGTTGGGGTGAAATAGATGTGATACTATTATTGATTTTAGTTCTTAGAAATTAATCTTGGGCCTATTCCTCTGTTCCCACGAATTCAATTACCATAGAATAGAACAGAATAGAACAGATTTCAGGTTGGGACAGACAGGTTTTTTTTCTTCATGTTTTTGTTTTTTTCTTGCCTGTAACTTTTAATGAAAGAAAAGTGTCGTCACACGAAGGTCGAATGTGTTTGAATGTGTGCCGTTATCTGTCTTTGTAATGATTAGCTGGAGCATCAACAGTAGTGTGTGTGTGTGTGTGTGTGTGTGTGTGTGTGTGTGTGATTCACCCGATAAGGAGGCCGTCGTCATGTCCCCAGGTCCTGGGAATAGTGGCCTTTCTGTCGGTGCCTCTGTACCGGGGCTTGGCCCCCGTGTGGTGGCTCAGTGAGCTGTCAGTGAGTGGCCTTCACTGCCTGATTTATAGCTGCCTCTACACTGTTACTGTTTACTGCTCATGGAGACGGCGGGCTCTTCATGGTCACACGTGAGGTATAGGTGTATAAAATGGTCAAGTGATGGAAAATGAAAATGTATTATAAACTCTGAGAATGAGTCGATACGATTCAATAATCGTCACGTTTCCAAACGATAATAAGGATTAGGCCTTAAATGTGATGAACAAGAAGCTATATTTAAATAATAAACAGATGGGATAAAAGGTTAATTTTAATATTATTTAATTAATATAATTTTATGAATACTTTATAAAGTCTGATATATCATAATAATCTCATGTTACTCAGATTTTTTTTCATGTTTTGTCTCTAGACTCAGATGTAATGCATCACCGGTTTGACAGTGTTTTGTTGTGTGGGCTTTGTAACCCACGTCTGCCCCCTCCTGGTGTCTCCTGGTCTGTGAACCCCATTTTATATAAGTTAATACAGAAGGAAAACAACAACCCAGTGAAACAATGTGAAGATCAGTGGTTTGTTTTGTGACAGATTCACAGTCTGGACAGTAAGAACCAGCGGCTGCTCCGTGCTCAGATCTACAGGTCGCTCCTTGTTGCTCTTCAGCACCATGGAGAGCGGCCGTGTTCACTGACGCCACTGACGGCTGAAGTACTTAACAAAACGTGTTAGAGTTTAATTCTGCTATTATTTCCCATGCTCCCTGGCGGTTTCTGCAGAAAGGTGTGTCTTCGTGTTGTCAGACAGCAGGATGTTTCACTTCATGTTCTTCTACTGTTACCAACTTACTACTGAACATCCATTATTTTACTACCTTACAGAGTACCACTAAGTATTATAGTATTACTTTGTAGAGTGCAATACTTTGAAAATCCTATGAATCATTATTTCTGTCAAACCTTATTGGCTCAATGCAAACACTGAGATCAAAACAATCACAAATGAGTGTTGATTCACTGGTGTGTTTGTCTGGAGCTGATCATGTGACCCTGTAAAAACTGACACACAAGAAAATAATAATAAAAAACAGAAAACTCTACATTTTTGGACTGAAATATTTATTAAACATTATAATAAAACACTTTGGACAATTAACATTATGAAAACAAAGCAGTTCTGCCTCTGAACCTCGTGCAGCTAATTTGATAGGAATGGTTTGAACCACTTCACCCTGGGAGTTGAATAAAGTGTAAAAATATAGAGTTGTAGTTGAGTAAAGATTGCAGCAGTCATTTTCTAGAATCTTCTACACACTCTGCTAACTTTCTAACTCGCTCTTGGTGTGTGTCCTGTCCTCTCCACAGCATGTAAGCGTAAGGAACAGGATCACGGCAGAAACGATCGAGGAAACGTGAGCAAGAAGCCCCGGCTGGTGTTCACGGACGTGCAGCGACGGACACTTCACGCCATCTTCAAGGAGAACAAGCGTCCGTCGAAGGAGCTGCAGATTACCATCGCCCAGCAGCTGGGCCTGGAGCTGGCTACTGTCAGCAACTTCTTCATGAACGCACGCCGGCGGAGTCTTGACAAGTGGGTGGACGACGGCTCCGGTCACCCGGTCAACTCTAACGCCTGCACCAAAGCCTGAAGATGGACCGAGCTAACCAACTCATGGACTCAACATCGGTGGAAAAGCTTTAAATTTTAGGAGAAACAAAGATAAACTTTTTAAAACAAAGACCTGGAAGCAACATGTTGCCCTTAAACCTGTACTATAGGAATATTTATAGTATCCAAAGATGAAAAAACAACCAAAGACTTCTCGTTTGACCTGCTTTGAAATGAAGTGTTTGTTTGTGCAACAAACTTCTGTGTAACAAACTGCAAACAGACAGTAACGTCACACACCCTCTCACACACACTCACTCTAACTGGTCGATAGCTTTATTACTCCTTTACCCACCTCCCCGCCAGGTATCAGCCTATCGTTTGCCATCCTTATCTTTAATCTGATTGGTTGGTTTAACGATGGAGGTCTAATCAGCCTACTGACTGTCCACAGCCTTTAAAAACAGCCAGAATGTGGAGCTCTGGTGGGATTGGTCAATCAACTTCAGAAGAAAAACATAATCCTACAGGAGTGACGGACGTGTTGGAGTCGGAGGTGGTGGACTGTCTGTCTGTCTGACTGTCTTTGTGTCTAAGTTTCTGTCTGTCCCTCTATCAAACATTCCAGACAGACAGGGTTGTGTCCAATCCCCCCCCCCCCCCCCCCCCCCCCAAAGGTTGGACTCACCTGGTAGTGCTTTCTTCCCACATGCTGACGTGTTGAATAATTCGAAACCTAGAAAAACCAAAGCCTCTACACAGTTCAAATATAACCACAGAAATGCCATAACGTTTTCAGACCAAAGAGTTTATTTCATGGTGGAAAATCCTGAAACTGATTTGACCTCGTTTTCTTTCCTTTATCTTGAAACAGACTGTTATTGAAGAGCCTTTAAAGAAGAGAACGATGCTGTTGTTCTCACCTTTACGTTCCCTACGTTAGATCCTGATGTGAAAAAAAATAATCCTTGACATTGATCTTGTGATGTCTTTTTGAAATCATCAACTAAATAATTACAGTCAGAATTCTCTCTGAACGTCAGTGCCAGCAGCTGACAAAAAAGATCCAGTGCTGATGTCCTTCAGCTCTTCTCTGGACAGTATTATCCTAAATAATAATAGTTCAATCATTCAGTTATGATTTGATCTCCTCGTCACAGATGTGAGATTAAAGTTAGTGTGTAATGATCAAATCACTTCCATGTGCTGACGCAGCAATGTCAGTTTATCATCTGGATACAAAAGCACTCCTCACCTTCCTGTTTCCAACCCCCAGACACTTGTCCTCTCAGGACGCCACTTTCCTGTGCATTCAGGCATCAGGAGGAAAGCACTGCCCAGGCCCGGCTCAGGTCGGCTCAGTCTCAGAAACACAGAGCTGGCCTCCTGCCATCACTGAACGAGAGATCTGAGGGAGGAAGAGAGACTGGCTCCATCATCTCAGAAGGACAAACCAAAAAGACCACAAGAACCCAAAGAAACACGTTGAGACCTGTTGACCTTTTATAGTGTGAACCAAAGATGCTACCTCACTCAAGTTCCATGTTTGTGATTTTCTATCACGTTGATGATACCAAAGACAAGTGAAGAACACTTCTGGTTGCACGGCCTTTATGATTGGTGTTATAAAGATGTTATATGTCGTCCCCCCCCCCATCCCTTGTATCCTCCCCCCCTCTCCCTCTTCTCTCCCCCTCCCATCTGCACTTGCGTCCCATGCGTCTCCTCCGTGCGCGGCCCTGCTTCGTCCGTGCTCAGATTACAGCTCCGTAGACCGTCGTGCTGACGCAGCAGGTTGACTCGACTGTCCGTGCAGGGTGAAGTTATCATCAGTGTGACCAACTGAAAATCACACATTTAAAATGCAATAGACGTCACTGTTGTCACCAAAACGTTTGGCCTTCAGTTATTTAAATCTTTGAATTTGAAAACAGACACCTGCTCGATCGTCATGTTTTTACCACGGCCCCTGTGTGTGTACCATTGATCCAGGAAATAAGACACCTTTTCACATGACAACAGGCAGAACAACTGACATAGCCATGGGCAGAATCCACTCGACTACGTACAGGCAGACATGTCCCTGAAAGTAGAAGCAGACATGTTGCAATCCTTCTAAATCTCCCAGGACGAGTGCCTTGCTTGAACCAAAGTGTTAAACCACTCTTGACCTCTCACCTCTGACTCTGTGAATACCTCAGCCTGAAGGAAGGCCACTACGAAAGAAACTAGAAAAAGGTTTTTTTAATCACACCGTGGTGCTTTCGCCAGCAAACCATGCAATGAAAACGTACCAAAGGAATTTCTGTTTTATCCACTTTTACAGATGAAACCTCCCCTTGTCTCTCTGCTGTGTGTTGAAAAGTCAAGCACTGTGGCCGTGCATGTCTTTACCGATGTCTCTGAATACCTCATGCCGTAGTAATAATTCCTTTAAGTTCTGCATGGAGACAGTTTCTGAGAGCAAGGCAGAACTTCACCTGTGTGCTAACTGTTCCTTCAAAAAGATGTTTGATTATCGTTTTCCTTCCTTTCTTGGCAGAAGTGCTCTGGTTTCATGGTCGATGTGTGAAACTTACAGATGGAAGGGAGAATCATATTTTTTCCTAGATATTGTTTTATACCAATGTTACGATGGTAGACTATTGCTTTTACAGGGTAAAACCAACGGCTGTGACACTGTGTTCTTATTTGCTCTCTCTGTGCTGTGACTTTCTTTAAACGCCTGTTTCAATTGTTTATTCACTGCTTTAATTTATGCATTTGTAGAAACTCTAGATTTGTACATAGTAGGTTTTTGAAAGAAAAGAAAACCAAAAAAAAAAAAAACGCCACAAAAAGACAGATTTATGTTCTAGGCCCGGCTTAGATACGACGAAGGAATAGTTTGTATTTCAGCTCAGTCCTAGCCGGCATTTCAACACGTGTTTTAAACACTGCCAGAAACCCAGACAGTTACACTGAAGCTACTTTGTTGTTTAGATGGCAAAAAGCAGTGTGTGTGTGTGTGTGTGTGTGTGTGTGTGTTTTCTATTCTTTTGTCTTTTTAAGAACAGTTATTTTATGGGTATAACTGCACATCCAAAGATTTTTTTAAACAAACCAAAAATTGGAAGAAAAAAATATGTATATTGTTGGGAAAAGAGCACTGGTGTTTGTGAGGTAGAGTTGTTGAATTTTTGATTTTCCATTCGCACGGGTATCGAACGTAGAAGGCGCAGGGCTGTGTCGACCAGCTCACTCTACCATGTGGGGAGTCTCCTGTTCAATGTACAATCTGAAGCATCTGAAATGAGGGCTGCAAGTCCCGCTCACTTTGCTGTCTCATACACGGAGTGAGGTGGAGTGTGGGCTGGGCAGCCGGTCTGCCGGGGGCTGTGCTGCGGAGCGGGCTCTGGGTTCACCGCCGCGGCACCGCCGCCTCACTCCACCTGGTATCTGTTCGTTTGGTACGTGCTCGTGTAATGGCTATGAGCAAAGTCTAATAAAACTGCAAAGAACTTTACCAAGGAATCGGTGTGTGAGAGTGTTTGGGTGGTACGTGTGTGTGTGTGTGTGTGTGTTCATTTAAATTATTCTGATTCTTCATTTAGAATAAATTAGATTTCGATTTTTTATTATTATTATTATTATTGCTTGTGCAGGGTTGAAGGTTATGCCAACGGGATGTATGGCGCCCTCTGGCTGCCAGTGTTTGTTTTTGTTTCTCTGTGTACGTCATGCTCACGCACTACCAGACTGTCCACTCAGATCATCGGTTTGTTATGCAGTCACGGAGGAACTTTTACTTGTTCTGTCCAACAAACCGGAAGTTGATTGTATTTATTCCGGGCCTGTGCTCCGTGCAGGTCTCCTGACCAGGCTTTTATTTTGACAGACCTTCTGGAGTTCCCACGTGACTTGCTGAGCTCCAAGTCTGACACCGATACAGCAGCGCCTGAGACAATCATCCGGACCTTTTACACTGGGGCAGTGGTTTTTATCTCCCACAGGGGGGCGTTCTCCAGCTGTTCACCTACAAATGTGCTCCAAGGGTTTTGATAAACGAGCATATTTGTTGTCATGTCCATTTAGCTTTAGATGACGTCACGTCCGTGCTGCTCTTGCATTTCATAATGAGCGTTGATGGAGCTTTTTTCCGTCAGCCTCTCGTTTCTGCCCTGACTTTTATTTTTGACCTGATTCATGACTAACAAAGCTTCTTCAGTTTGTGAGTATATGTGTGTGTGTGTGTGTGTGTGTGAGAGAGAGAGAGAGAGAGTCCTCCCTCTAATCAGTGTTACTCCACATCTCATGACTTGCGTTCGTCACTGCTGTTTTCCCGAAGCTTCGCTACTGCTTTCTTAGTGCCGTGCAATATCATCTGTTGTGATTGCTAAGCAAATAGAAAAAAAGTGACAATTGAGAAGCAAGTGATGATGTCATTAAGCTTTTTTTCCAGTGTTCAGATGTTCAACATTTCTGTAGTCACAAAACTAGAAAAATAAACGGTTGGTATTTCCAGAATCCTGGCTCTCTCTGTCTGTCTACCTTTTTTTAACTAATACTTTTTAAAGATTAAACTTTACTTCCTTGTTTAAAATGTTCTTCCAGGTGATAGAATTTGATAGAAGTTAGAATTAAATGAAGATGTAATGCAGAAAAGTACAGTATGGACAGTAGAGGCGCTGTGCTGTATACAGACTGTAGGTACTGTAGGTATAAATGGATAAAAAAAGAGCTCAAATATGAAGAGATAATGACTTATGAGAAGAAGGTTCATTTAAACGGAGGAGAAAGTGCTGGACCACTCGTTCTATTAACACCGTGTGTTAGCTGTAATGCTAACAGAAGACACGTGTGACACTTTGTAGTTGCATATATATGTATATGTATATGTATATGTATATGTAACTAAAGGGGTTGATGTCCATCTGTTGGTGAGGTAAACTGAGAATTCGAACTTTGTCATCACTGCGCCACCCCGCGGACGGCCGAAGCTTTATATCTACTGTATCTCGTTTGGATTTCTGCATTAATAATTTCCTGTCACTAGATGGAGCTGTGACATAGCTATTCCTAATCTCTAACAGCTTCTTTTTTCCACACAAAAAGAGATGAGTAATGATGATCTGAACAGCTTCAAAGTGGACACGTTGTTGTGTCTAATTGTAATGAAACTCTCGCATATATATAGGTTGTGTCTAATTGTAATGAAACTCTCGTATTATAATGTACCATGAGAAACTGTGGACAAGGATCCGGTTTCACTGAATACATCACAAAGTTAATATGTATTTACTGAAAATCATTTTCCTCCGTTTGTCTGTACAACGATAAAAGGCTGAACGTGACATTTTTGTTGTGGTCCACTGTGGGGTTATTTATGTAAAATATATGATGTGGCTCAAAAAAAACTTGGGAAACATTGTGCTGGGGAGTATGTGATATTTTTTTTAATATATTTAAATATAGCATTACTCATTTGTATTTGATTAATAATTAATTGAACTATTTTATTCACAAAGAAATTGTATCTATAATTAATAATCTATAATATTGATGTTAGCAAAACAGACAAACAAATACAATTAAATTAAATACAATTACTCAAACAAATATCCTCCGTGCAGAGTCATCTAAGTTCAGTAAACAACAGTAGGTCACAAACTGCTCCCGTCAGATTCTGGGGTCCACTGTTTGGTCTGTGTCTTTGTTCCAAGGGTTTCAACAGAGGAGAGATTAAAGAGTGTTCTCTGTGCCTTTTATTTGTACCAAAATAACAATGGAACACAGCCTGCAGTTATGTGCACTAAAAATAACCCATGACTTCACATACATTCATCCATGTTGACTTTACCACTTTAAACAGCAGTTTTGCTCTTCAATGGGGCTTCATTCTCTCATTGAATGGAAACACTGAATGATGGTGAGGAGAAAAGGGGGGGTTTTAGTCTCCATTTGGTGTCATGTGACTTCAGTCTCATGGCATCACACTTTAAAAAAAGATTATGTTCTATTTTTATTTAAATCTAGCACCTGCTTGAAGGAATACACTATGTATCCATTGTCATAGGTTTGAAAGAAAAATATATGTGAATAATAAATATTAATAATATATGTTAATCAATAAATCATTGAATATGAAAACATGTTTAATCCTGAGAAACCTTCTGTATCAGATTATTGTATATTATCTAAAGGCATTTTTTTTATTAAATATGTAGTTCATTGTTCGCATTGTTACCAAAAACATGTTTGACCAAAATGTTTGACCCAGCTGCTTCACATCCACCCAAGAGGTCAAACAGGGCCAGAGTGAAAACCCTTGTTTGTTTCACTGTTGTTGCAAAAATATATACAGTATTATTATTATATATTTATCTGTTAACAGCAAAGTTTCTATTTTAACAAAAGCACTAAATGATCGTGTATTAAAACTGTTAAAACAAGAATTCCTCACTTTTACAATAACAAATGAAAAGTAACACGAGTTCTCTAAAATCCTTCATATCAGAGTACTGCTTACGAAAGTATTTTTCTACAGAACCACTGCTTTGTTCATATTAGATTTGAGGAACTCTGCTGTTACACAAACAAACTAGTTCCATTTTTTTTTAAATTACATTAAAATTACATCAATCATAAATAAAGTATATACATGTTGTAATTGCTTTAATGGTAATGTAATTTATGTTGTTAAAGGCTGGCGTTAAAGGTCCATAAGAAATGTTGTCGACTTTTCACCGAAGTTTTGTTTTTGTATATAAGGAAACGATGGAAGGCACTTCAACAACCACATGTAATATTAGTTTAATAACATTTTTACATTTATATATGAATGAGGGGCCATGAAAGACAAAATGTTCATCACGGAATAAGACGAAGGCTCACGTGCCAAAGTTCATTGACCAATCAGAGTAGCCTAAGGTTTCTTCTTCTTCGGGTGTCCGCCGCCATCTTTGAGACAAATGTGATCTTTGTCAAAGAAAATTAAATACTGTAAGTTTAATTTAGGGTTTTTTTTAGTCCACTCTTCTTTTGTTGTTGTGAGTTTGGCAGCAAGCGTCAAAGTTGGCGCTTGGTTGCTATGGCTGCAAGTTCAGGCGAGGCTGTCCGAGAGAGGAAGTGACGTCGGACTGTTGTTGGGACACGTGACTGGAGCTGCACTGATCTGTTTTGACAAGCAGCAGGGAGGGAAGTGAGGAGGGGAGGCAGACAGTGAAGCATCACGACCGAGAGCTCACACTCTTCCTTTCATCCGCAGTTCGCCTCAGTCTTACCGCAGTTCCACCGTCTCTCACTTCGTTATTCGCAGCGCTGTCGAAAAGTCTCTGCGCTTTAACAGCGACTCGTTTTCGGCCAGCGTGTTTTTTTTTTTTTCATTTTGCGGAAACGTCGCAGCAGTTGGGCGACGCGGAGTCACTGATGTTGAGAAAGTTTTTACTGAGGCTCACAAAGGAAGTCAGTACAGGTGGGGGTCTGTAACGTTCACTAGATGGAGACTTTCGGAGCGTCGCGGTCCGTGGGACAGTGGAGACCGTCCGCCTGATACTGTCAGGGCTTTATATTCGTGACAAGTGAAAAATGATGAAATATGCTTTTCTCGTAGCAGAGAACACAGAGAGCGTCCGTCGGCAGCGTCGGTGTCCGTAGCTGTGCTGTGGCTACCTGCGCCACTCGGGGGGTTGGGGTGTTTGTGTTCGTCTTCACCCGCATACGTTTCACCTCCAGCTGCCAGTAACGACACTGTTAGTTGGTCGACCTTCCTGACGCTGCCGAGTTTGCAGTGCTGTGTTGTCGCGACGAGCCAGACCCCAAAAAATGCGTCGCAACTCGTTTATGGTTTTGGCTCGTGTGATATGAGAGCAGTCGGTGTGATCGTTACTGGACCAACAGCCAGTGTCGGTTAGTCGCCAGCGAGCGGACTGACAAGTTCAGTACCTGAAGCACCAACTGTGGCTGGTACTCGCTCTCGTCTGTCTTTGTGTGAGTCACTGGGACAATACAGTGCCATTGGATGGAAGCGTACAGTAGCATGCTAACAAAGCGATGCTTTGTTGTTGGATAAGGGGCTGCTGGCAACAACACGGAGGCTCTACAGCTGATATTGTTGCTTAGGTCACATAGCAAGTCTCGGTCACACACGGGGGGGGGATTCGGGGTCCAGACTCTGCTGGTGTTGCTGTCAAGGCTGAATGTGGTGTTTAGAGGAGAGAGAAGACCCTGCACGAGACCCCGAGGGCAGCCTGGTCACACTGGACAACATGAAGACCGACCGAGGTGAGTGGACACCACATTTACAGATACACAGTGAACACCGTGGCTGCAGGGGTGGACGGGGGTCTCCTCAGCCTGAGTGGACTCCAGAGAGGACATTCAAGACTGGGCATTATGTAACAGCTGATCAGCCTTGTCACTGGTTATGTGAAGGGAAAACAAAACAAAACAATTCTGACCTGTGTGAGGACATGTGTAAGCAACACACATTTTCTGATCTAATGTCAGATGTTGTGACAGACAACATCAACATCATCTGATTTTTCCTGTTCTGCATGTTTGACCCAGTGTGTCCAACAGCAGGATCTCTTGTTTTGACATTGTTCTGCCCCGGCCTGCTGCTACATAGTCTCTACACCCACTCTGCTGTATGCCATCCACGTCCTGTTTACATGTCTCCATATCTGCAACAAGAGGTTGAACAGGGACAGAGTGGAAACCCTTCATGGTTTGACTGTGGTTGCTGTTGTTTTTGGGGCCTACATTGTTGTTCTAGTGTAATCTAAATAATTCTCCATGTTTGATTGTTTACAGTCCACTTTAAAGCTGGTCTGACTTGTTATTTAACAGGACTAAATCAATCACTCAAAACCCAACATTTCTGGAACATACAGCAACTTATTTATTTATTTTGTCTGTGTGAGAACGATTTGGAGATTGGTTAGCTTATGTTATATGTTTGTCACTCTGTTTTGTTACTTACAAATCTAGCAACAAAGCCACACCAGTGTGGCCTTGTAGTCAAAGCTCTTAAAAACAAAGCCTCACATTAGTTAGCATTTTAGCACGCTAACAAAACTTCTAGATTGAAAATATACCTACCTTTAATAAATATTAGTATATCTTAAGTCTTCTATAATATTATCCTTCTTATGTCTACATACAACAAAAGTCATTATGGCTTTGTTGAAATCTTCCACCAAAGCTGTGGCTTGGACAGCTGATCATTATCAACTAAACAAAAGCACAAAATCATCATGTAATAGAAATGTAATGTCCTTAGATACAAAAGCACAATACAGACATAGTCAAAACAGGAGCAGTTCTTCCCCTTTTTATGCTGCAGAATCTCCCCTTGAAAACCTTTGGACAACCATGTTTTATAAGAATGAGTTATTGTGCTCCTAATCATTGTAGAAAATGAATAAACCACAGTTATCATGTCATCACAGACAGCACAGACAGCACAGACAGCACAGACAGCAGAAAGAGACTTCTGTCATGAGTTAGACAGCACAGACAGCACAGACAGCAGAGAGAGAGACTTCTGTCATGACTTTTGCTGATAGATGTTGTTTGTCCAGAGGGACAGAAGACTGACCAATAGACATAAAAATTGAAGAAAAAAAATGTTGACACCAGACCCACTGTTCTGTATCATGATGAGATTAGCTTGAGTCAATCTTGCACAGGCTGTTTGTTTGAAAGGGCTTTGAGCAGGAGCACAATGCAGCGTGTTGGCTGAAGAACTTCACCACACACTGTAAACATGTGCTGTGTGAGGACTCCAGTTGTTCTGAGGATCCTTTATATGCAGACAGCAGATGGTTGTGTGGTGTGACTCTGCTGAGTAAAGGTACACACTGACAGACAGTGTGCTGTTGTGTACGTCCTGGCACCAGAAGGGGCTGCAGTGACTCCTTTATGATGAAATATCAACGCCACGTTCTTTTTCTTTTTTTTTTTTGTATTCTTGCCTCATATGAGCCAACGATACGAGGCCTGTAGGACTGATATTGCTGCAGTGCAACTGGTCTCCACCCTTCATGCTTTGTCAGTCACCATGACAAGCTCGCACACCGATTAATTACACTGTAATCTTGAAGGCTGGTACAGGCAGAACTGTATTCAGTCACTTTAGCTCCACTTCTTTACCTGCAGTCACTCTGCTGTTGCTGCTGTTGCTGCTGCTGTTGCTGCTGCTGTTGTTGTACCAGGTGTACCAGCTGCTGTTGGTAGAGGAGCTGTTTAAAGTACAGCCAGCAGTCAGGACCGTCACAGTCACAGTCACAGTCGGTCTGTGCTCCTACAGTACTGTACGTGAGGCTGATGGTCTACGGCTCAGACTGGCTTTGTTATGTTTGAGGTGAGAGCGGGACAAGTCATGACATGTGCATCACACAGTCACACGTCTGTGACAGCCAGCTGTGACCTCTGAGGTCGGCGAGTGTCAAAATGTAGCTGTGGGTTTTGGTCACAGTGTTGTGCTGTAAACCATTATTCTTAGCCGCTGGCTCCACCTCGAGCACCGTGGAAGTTCCAACAGTTCCAACAGTCTGATCTGTTTTTACAAAGATTTAAAAAATGTTAAAGACACTCTAAGACCAGGCAGTGGTGGAGACACAGAAGAACTCCATGAGACTAATATAAAACCTGTTCATCAGAAAGAAGAACCAGCTGGATCAAATCAAGTGTCGTCTTTCCTGTTAAACTGTTTTATTCACCGTCAGTTCATACATTTTCTCCTGGATTTATACTTTTTACATGAATGTGTGTGTGGTTTGTTTTTTAGTTCAATCTGAACTTTTTGGTGGGAGGACAAACTTGACGTCCTTTACTAGACAAAGTATCAAAGTCAGTCGCCGCTGGAGACTGGCAGCCACTAATGCTGTCTCATCAAAGTTTCCTGTTATTAATTTGCCATGTGACACAAAAAACACTATAGTTGTCCTCTGATTCAAAAAAGTAATTCATAAAAGATATATACATTTTCTTTTCCAGAAATCTTTTGGTGCTTTATTTAATTGTTGTCATTTTGTGAACCTTGCTCCTTCTACAACAGTACAGGAAAAGCCCTCAGTGGCTGCACCGTCATCTGACCCTGTTGTTTTTCTGAGCTCAGCTGTGACTCAAGACTCTGTGTGTGTGTGGGGGGAGGGGGGGGAGAGGGGGTATGCAACAGATTGCTTTGGTCTTAATACATACTGTACTGTTACATCATGTGGCTAAAATGACATCCTTCACATGTGCCTGAAAAAAATGGAAGATACAGGACATATTTAAAGCAGCTGGGTGAAGCCTGTGGTCGTATCAGCTTTCAAACTGGTGGAGCTGGACTGAGGTGCAGCTTGGTTTTATTTGTGTCCCCCAGAGACATGGTTTTATTATGGTGCGTTGTTTTTGCAGAGGGTCGCACATATGTTTGACTGAACGACAGACAAACTGGTTTAGTTTGTGACAATGAACTGTGTGATGAAACGACTGATGAAAGAGTGAAAGAATGGAGACTTATGGTTGCTCGTGTTTTCCGCCTGAGCTGAGTCAGAAACAAACCAGGCTGATCTCAGGGTTGGTCAGGCTGCAAGACTATTGGCCGATCCCCGTCACTGTCCTGCTCTTCCCTGTCGGCAGGAAAATGTTCCAACTCCAAGGCTGTTGAAGGAGAAACTGAATACTAGTTAGTTCTCCTCACCTCCCCCACACGGTCTGCCTTCTGCCCAGCCGTCAGTCCCATCACAGCTGCCCTGAGATGTTCCAGACTCAGCCTGGAGGAGCAGAGTTTACACTCTCACTGATGGGAGACACAGATAATGCAGAGTGACATAAAGTCCTGTCCTGTTGGACACCTGTCCATCCCTCTGCTCTCTCCACCTCCTCCCACTCAGTGATTTACCCTGGGGTAATGGGGTAAAAGGCTGCCACAACAGGTGCCGTCCTGTGTTACTTTTGTCGCCCAGTTGGACTCCACTCTGTTTGTTTGTTTGTTTGTTTGTGTTATTGTTGTGTGGTTGAGTCATTATTGAGTCAAATATCTTCTGCAACCACCGTGGCTTCAGAGTGCTGTCGTTTTGTCATTCTCTAGACCACATCCTGTCACACGTCCGTCTCCCATTATCCACGTTAATTATCATTCATTTCTAATCGTGAGGTTCGTTAGGTGAAGAGTCTTTGCAGCGGAAGCAAAAACATTAAAAGTGTCCATCATTTTCATCACCGTGAGTTTAAAACCTACAGAGGATTTCATCTTTTTTCTTCAGTGGACCTACTTGTGTTAAGAGAACCACTGTCCCACTGTTTAACATTAAACACTTGGTTTGACCCAAGTCCATTTTTATATTGCCTTTTCAATAAAGCGCCACAGTCAACATAGATGTTGGACATTTAACAACATTCTCTTCAGGCCTTTGGCATTGAATTCCAGTCGTGGTAAAGGTTCAGTTGTGAATTACAACCCTGACCTCCAGAGAACTCAGCCTAAATCACAGTTGTTGTGACACGTTGGGCTGTTCGTAGCCTCCTAGCATTAGCTGCCTGGTAAGACTGTGCGCCCAGTGCTCCCAGTCCAGTAATGCTCTTACATAATGCTGGAACATTCTATTAAGGTCATGAGACCAGTATCAGGAGGGACAAGTGTTCACATGCACATGGATGTATTTATATAATCAATGTGTGTGAAAAGCAGTTCCCTCAGTCAGGTCACACACCATCATAAAACCCAGTGAACAGATTTAGTTCAGCCTCTTGTGTGTCTGTCAAGGCAGAACCCGAGCTCAGCACCAGACTGGTGGAATCAGCACGACCTGCGTTTCTGTTGCTCCGCTGCCACCGTTCGTCACATCCTGCTGCCCCTGTGGCTCCACCAACACAGGCAGGCGTGAGCCCTGCAGGGGCAGGAACAACCATCTGGACCTGGTGTTCGGTTCTCATGAGGTAGTGTTGTGTTAATAAGACTCACCAGTGTCACTGTCCTGTGACCCCTGACCTCGGCCCACCCTCAGTCAGAGGCTGTTCCTTTGTTCCTTTGTTAGTCAGTGTAAAAATGTAAAGTCCATTAAAACATATTTTTACTTTGTTCAGATCAGCTCTAAATGTTTGAACACATCTTGTGACAGTCCTTGAATAACAACAGGATGTTAATTAAGACTCTCAATAACATTTCTGTACTGACATAATCACCCTAACTAATTAATTCCAAGTGTCCTGTATGATGTTCCCGTCCTTTAGTTTTTTCCCAGTTGATTCAAAGCAAACTGTTTTTTTTGCTTTACAAGCAAGCAGAACAT